ATCCCCCCCCCCCCCCCAAAACCCCCCATAGGCATCAGAAACATTCCGCTATACAGTATACAGGATCAAAGTCCAAGCAGCACCCTTGTAGTTGGGTAGCCAACAAAACTTTATCAAAAGAAATCATATTCTTGTTTCTGCTATAAATCTGGCGTGACACATAGTTTTCCTTACTTCATAATCACAAGAAATGTAAGCCAATCGTCGTTTATGAATCACATTTCTGTTACTGGAATGTACTTGATATTTTCTGCATTGAACCGATTCAGGTCCAGCTAAGGAGTCTGTTAACCTTTTCACCACTGTAGACCATAATGGACTCATCCAGATCAATGCATGGTAGAGTCTACTAAAGTTACATAGGGGTGAAAGGGTTAATTCACTCAATACCATTATGCTTCCACTCTGGGTCCACAATATAAAGCGGGACAGCATCATTTAAGAAGTTTGATAGTGGAGGCATATCTTGACTTGGCTTACACATTCTAGTATTTTACGTAGGAATGTATTTGTTGAATGTAGCATGCCCGCATACCTTCTTCATCAGAAACGTACATTTGTGAGCAGAGCATGGCCACATACATTCAACTGCTTCTACATTTGACAGAGGAGTATGTTAGTAGGCTGTACCATACCCTCTAACTAAGAAGTGCATATTTGTTGGGTACAGCACGCCTTCTGTGTCTATTTGTCGGACATACCATCACAGAGGTACATAATTTGGGTGTATATACATTGTAGACTGATACATCCTTTTAGAGTAGCAAGCAGCATATATAACTTCATCCACTAGAAGCCTAGTTTTGGTTGGCATAGCATGACTAATACTTTCTAAACAAATTCTGTGAGGCATAGCATGGCTACAGCTCAATACATTAGAAACGTATATTTGTTGGACGCAGAACGGCTGCTGACCCGCCACGTGTATTCCCTCTCTGTTGTGATAGTATGGGTTTGGAGCCTTTGAATCCATTTGTCTGCAACAAGAAATGGATAGAACAAAAAATATAAATAAGGTATTCCAGACAATTTTTTTTATACTTTAACAACAAATTCAGGTTCCAAAGGACTTGTAAATGCACACAGAAGGACTCTTACATGTATCTAACGTCAAAATTCACAGTTTTGTAATTGATGAATAAAAAAGTTGGCAGAGTCTCAGTTATATTTCAAATATATTATTTCACAATTAAAAATATCATCATATGCTACAATGTCATGTTTTTTTCTGATTTATGTCATTGTTGCAGTATGTTTTGTAAGTGCCCATGGCCAAACACTAATTCCATGCAAGAGGAATGAAAACAGAGTGTGTGAGCATTCAGACACATATGTACAATACTCCTCTAGGAAAACCAACACATCTATCTTTTTTTAAACATTAAACATATATCTAACTAATTGATTTGATTTTTTTTATTGATTGATCTTGCCAACCATCCCTATTTAGGAGAGAGACCCCCCCGATATTGGACCCTTAATTTTAGTGTTTTCTAAGAATGAATTTGCTTAACTGTGCCCATATTCTAAGATCTAATGATTTCATCTGAAACAACAACTCAAAATGTGTCAGTTTGAAGGGTTATTTTGTCTCTATGGGGTGTAATACAAATTTTATTTAGGTTTAAATTTGAGCATGCAGAATCTCCCCCATGGAAGTTTAAACAAAAGTTGGCAAGTATGCGGTATGATCACAATCCAATAACTTTTAAGTGACTGACTCTCCAGTTTCTTTTACTCCAAGGTGCCCATAGCAACAGCCGTCACAACTTTATAACTGAGATAAGGTTGATTAAAAGGCTTAATTTGTTAATCATACACAACTTGGATCATTATAAAAAAATATCATTTACATGACATAATTGGCTGAATTAAAAACAATGTTTTAAGGATTTTAAGTAAATGGAGGAAGTCTGATTTAAATATTCATGATTACAAGGTGAAGGGAAATTTGAATATTCATGATCAGGGAAGTGGATGTCTGATTTGAATATTCATTATCAGAGTTGGCGGAGGTCTGATTGAATATTCGTGATAAGGTAAGTTAAACAACACCAGTGTGTCTAACATGGCTAGAGCACAAATATCCCAATGCACGATATTTCCATTATATGGTGACCGATATGTTAAGTAATGTGAGGTTTTAAATTTGGATCCAAGTGCAAGATGATACTTTAGGCTCCACCCTCAAAAGTAAACTGACAGCATGCAACATGGAGGAAGGTTCAGTGAAGGGAAACAGATGAGTGAACAATTAATATCATCACCAGTTTAGGTATTAGAACATAGAATCAGGAGAGAGAAATCAGGTGAAATCGATGTAGATGCTTACACGAGGTGACCATATGCAATCAGTCTGTAAATATTACAACATCAATATCACGATACCAGTAAGAGACGTTACCTCAATCTCCTTTTAACGTAGTCCTTAAATTAGCCTACAAAATTCATCAAATACTTCAATAAATAAAAACAGACTCGACCCATATTTTACTATGTAATTAAATCACTGGAAGTACTGGGTAATTTTTTGAACGTGATTTTACATTACAGTACGACCAGAAATATTCCCTGGTATTATCTCTCACAGAATAATGTTCCAAATTTTTCTGTTGGTTAGCCATTAACAAAACTTGTAATTACATGAACAATCAATGCTATTATGGCAAATGTAAATATTAATAAACAAAGAAAGTTTTACATTATGAATTTAAATGGTATGGTTTTTACATTGTAAAATAATTGGAAGTTAAAAAACTCCAATATATATGAGCTACAGTCTACCCCCAAAGTTAGAAGATATTTATTGGTAGTAGCAGGGTAATAACACAAGATTTTCTTCCCCGTTCTCCAGTGTCTAACATTATATCTGAAATATGAATCATCAAAATAAAATCCTTTTACAAATTTTTGTACCTGTACTATTTTTTGTAATCCCATTATCTCAACCTGAGTAACTTGTCATTACCACAAACACACACAAGACTAGAATCCGAACCTACCACTTGATAAATGTAAATGTGAGTATGGTATATATAATGCAGAATTATTTATAGAGTTCAGCATGTCACTACAGAGTTACTTACATAGGAAAAGTGGTGAGGTGGAGGAGGAGGAGCCTGTGACATGGCAGGCTGAGGGGGTAATGAACCGGGGAACTCCGAAACTGAAATATAAAATTACACAATTAGCTTATTAAAATATTAATTCGTTAAATACTTTAACTTTAAATTGATGCAAATTACAATATCATCTCCATGACAGGTTAGCTTGTCATGTTTACTTTTTGGTATACATGTTTTTACCAGGCAAATGACTGATTCACTTTTGACTGATTCCATCTTTTTTATTTTCAAATTTCATAAAAATTAAGATTAGAAAACTCACTTTTTAACTTCTCATTAAGCCGGTCCAAAGACTCTAGCAATCTTTTTTCTTCTATAGACAAAGCTGAAGGCACTGAAAATATAAAACAAAAGTCTTATGTAGAGTTACTCTCCATTTACACATAGGTACATATAAGTGCAAAGCTAGTCAATTATAGGTCATTTTCATTTTCTTTAAGTTTATTTTAATATTAAGCAAGTAAAAATGTCTTCATATTATAACAACACAACAACCATTTGGTGCTTCCCTTTGTTAGGTAACACACTCAAAAACATGATCAGGTTTGTTGCAGGCACCACTGTAACAGGAGAGAAATAATGCACGACCAGTTCAGGATTTGAACACTGTCTGGCTGCTGCATTTTTCTTTGCCTGTTACAACATTATTTTCTCCCACAACCTTCCTCGCTCACTCCCGATACGATAAACCTACTAGGAGTTGGTAAACATTTTTGGTTATCCACTAATGGGTAACACACTGGCGTGATTTCATTGGTCAATATTTTACTTATGATGTCACGTAACAAGGCTTTGCAACGTCATCTTCCATTGTGATGTCATGCTTTCCTTATAAAATATGAACGTTATGGGAGAAAAAGGACCCCAAACTCGTGATGGTAGGTTATCATATTTATCTAACTCTCGTTAGTTAATTTTCAAATTGTAAAAGACACTCAGTAAACCTTGTGTCTTTATACAATTTGAAAATTAACTAACTTAGATAAACATGATAACCAACCAACACTCGTTGGGGAACCTCTATATGATAGAACATTGTTTCAAAACCAAAAATAAGACGATTCTAAAACTCAAAATTCTTTTTGGCAGAAATCTTGGCTGAAGATGATCACCTTTTTGGTTTGGTCTGGCGTTGTTGTTGGTCTGCTGTCTCTTCTGGGCCTCCTCCATCGCCACATTGATCTGGCTATCAGACATGGACTGCTGGGTTAACTGCTCCGCCACCATGAACGCTGCCATGCTTTCACTGGCTACAAAACAAAGTGAATCTGAAAACACCAAGCTCTCACTGTCTACAACATGAAACACATCAGTACTGGTATCACATTCTCACAAGGTACAAAACAGTTAACATCACTGTACTAAACTAAAGGTCAAATCTATGAAATTTTGTCCTTGACAGGCAAAACGTGATTTGGAATTTGACCTTAACTTGTGACATTGACCTTCTGATCCTGAAAATGGATCAACTAACATCGCAGTTCATGACTCATCTATGATCACATGTATGTTTTCCAGGGCAAAGTTTAAATATCGCCTGAATATCATGAAAAAAATAAAATTTAGTATAAAGGACCCCAAATTACTTGTTTTTTCTTACCATCAGGAGGTAAAGGAGTTGTTCCTTGTTGAGGTTCTGTATTGCTCATGACAGGGCCGTGGTAAGTGATGAACTCCCTACTGGGTGCAGAGGCTGGGGCCTTACTCAAGTTGTTGGGGTTGTGTTGCCGCCTCTGCTGCAGAAGTCCATACCTGCGGGCGTATGCCTGATCACTTGCACTGGCTGGTTTCCTCTGGTGGGAGGCTGGGTTAGTGTATGGCTGTGTGTGGGCCTGTGGGGGAGCCACCCGGGTGTTGTATATCTGTCCTAAGGCTGCCCCATCAATATAAGTACTGGACATAGTGGCAGCCTGTCGAGGCTGGGATGAATGTTGTTCGTTTGACTGGATAGCTTTCTCTGGTTCAACAACAGCAGTTGATCCACTACGATTCAGACAAGTCCGTACTTTGTCCCAGAGAAAGTTAATCTCGTCGTCTGTTGGTGTTCGGTCAACACGCATCCCATTTTCATCGTACACAGGCGTATCGTATACTTTGCCACCAGCACCAACCCCTTGAGACGGAGGAAAATGACTGACAGATGGCTGTTGATGGTGAGAATTTGTTTCATTTTTGTTTGAAGCCACAGAACTTTTGTTGGAAGCTGCAGCATTGTTTAGTCTGGACAGATTATATACCATAACCTCTGACCCACCAGGGGAGCCATTGGCGGCCTTTCCATTCTGTACTGGAACTTTACTCATGAAATTGTTGTTGGTCACAGTAACAGATTTGTCTGTCGTGCCGTTGAGCCCCATCGCTGGTGTTCTGTTTTGGGTTATGATATGAGCAGCTGCCTGTGGTCGTATCGTTGACTTGTGTTTCTGCGGCCCAATCCATGTACGGTGGATGCCAGCACTGGCCACACGTGGTGGTTTTCCTGTGGGTTCTGCCGAGGTAGTCTGCATGACTGCCTTGGCTGATACAGGACGCTGGGTGTAACCTGGTTACAAAATATAGAGGGTTTATCGACTTAAACATGCATATGCATACAAAATACCTGGCAAGAAGCTTAAGCAATACATAAATAAGACCCTTTTCCAAGACATCAGGAAAGAGGAAGAACCTCCCCCCCGACTCAATTCAAATGTTAACATTAATCCTACCATAGCTAAGAAAAAAATGTAGGACAACTTAAGCTTCAACTTTACAAATGAACCTTGTTAAAAGATTCATCACTGTCAAATGATAAGGCTGTTGGTTTTGATAAGTAAAATTCATCCATTGGATGACAAACCTGGTTTTCTGGAGAGATAATCGTTCTCTGTATGCTCCGCTTCATCATCATCTTCATACAAATCATGGTCAGCAAACCTTACGCTTTTCTTTTTGGGCAACTGTAATGAGTCATATTGAAATATAGCAGGTGAATACTCTGATTACTCAAACAATTATGATGCTAACACCAAGGATGCCATTGATAAGACAATCAGACAAGTACCTATTGACTGAAAATCAATTAATAATCCGAGTTTTCCAGATAATATACCTGGTAATTGAAAAATCTATTTTTTATTAATTTCATCTTAAAATTCACCTCCTCCAGTTTGTATTTTTAAATGTACATGAACAAGAAATATAGTATAATTTTGCATTGAATTGGGTCACAAAAAAGTAAAAAAAAACACCTCAACAATCAAATAAACATGAGCATAATGATGTGAGCTACAAACCTGTATATTTCTGTCCTGCTGTAGATGAGCCCTCGTCACTTCCAGACTGTCCCTCACATCAAACTTCTTGTCCATACTGCCAGTGGAACCAGCTTTCTTGAGTATCCCTCCAGAAGGAGGTCGTCGCTTCAGAATGCCTTGCACACCCTCTCCCTCACAAACCTCCATATTATTCTTTTGTTTTGAGGACCTCATCAAGTCACTATCATCCTTGGCCTTCCTCTGTATGCCGACAACAGATGGAGGTTCCTCTGCCCGGAAAGTCTGATACGTCACGTGACGTAGCTGTACAGCTGGGTGATCAGGCAGCACAGCCACTTTGCCGTGTACATAGCCGAAGCTGGACGTTGTGGTAGTATTGACGGTGCACACTGGTGGCTTTGAGGCAGGTTGTACACCATTCTGTTGTGTACTCACTAATACAGGGGGTGTTGGTTTCGGGAGTGTAACACTAGGTGGCACTGCGTTTGTTCTGGTAGAGCTGATGGGACGAGGTAAACGACTACCAGTTTGGGGAGCAGACACTGGGGCGTCACTGTGAATCTCCAACATTCCGTTTGTCACGGTCTCCAAGAAATCCAAATTTTTTCCGGACTCATGTTGTAATTGTGTTGTAGTTGGTTTACTATTCACAGGCTGAGGTTGAGACTGAGGCAGAACTGTATTACAACTTACACCATTTTGTAGCACCGGTTTTGCACCTGAACTATCATACGCAGCATTCATTGGTCGTGGTTGGTTTGCAATAGTTACATTTTGATCTGAAGGAGACGGTACACTGGCCTGAGAATACATCCCAGCACTAGCATATGACTGGTTTGAGTTGTTAGTCCTTTGAGGGTTTGACATGTATTGTTGTTGAAGGCTTTCAGCCTCGTCTGTCCAAGCATTGCTTTGGACATAACTGTGCACCCCCGGTGTCATGCCTTTCCCATAGGCTGTAGTGGTTGTCACTGATGTCATGGTGTTTCGCACAGAAAATGGATTGTTTTTGGTGGCCATACCAGAAGCGTCGGAATACACAGAATTACTGCGCGCACTTGCCTGGTCCATAGGGGACGGGGTAGCCCAGGCACGCATATGAGCTTTCGGACGTGTTTCCGTCTTAGGAGCACCCCTAGGACTTGAGGGAGGATAAGGAACATGATCAACATTGAAGGATTCAATTCTAGCATTTGTTTCTAAATAGAATGTCCGTTGGTCATTTGAAATAAGATCATTGCGTGCATTTAATTGGTTGTTTGTATAATGTTGACCATTATAATCACTGTTATTGCGCTGCAAGTTTTTCACATCTTTCAAGTTCTGATTTGCATCATAGATCATTTCACTTGTGTTTGCTGGTTCGTCGTCCACACCCCTCCCCTTACCTCTGGGGGTGCTGTCCGAGCCCTCAAGGCTGTCCACACTGTCCAGACTTTCACTGTGGACCATACCTCCCATGTCCACCTCCTCCTCCCCCTGAACTGTCCTGTCTGATGCAATCTCCTGCATGATGGCATTGTTGAACTCGTACAACGACTGTTGCTGATCCTGCACCAGTAATTGCTGGTGATGTTCAAGCTGCTGTTCAAACAGACTTCGGCTATTTGAAAGGTTGCGTAAACTTTTATCATGGAGTTTATCACGTTTTTCTGCGTCCTTGACTGGCCTGTATGTCTTATTCACGTCCCCTGGGGAGGGAGGATGATGTGCACTAGCATACTTGTTAAAGTAAGGACGGTGAAGAGGGTCTTTGTTATTTGAACGGCCACTTGAACCCATAGACCCTGCACTGCTCTGTCGTGACACAGAACTCATAGATCCTGTACTGTTTTGTCTAGACAAGGATCCTCGTACCAGACGCAGGGTATCCTCAAGTGTACGGTTTGGTGAAGTATTACCTGTGTAAGAAACGACAATAAATTCCATAACACATAAATGCCTGGAAATGATGCTGTTGTTCAAATCCTAAAATTTGAATCATCAGACATTTGAAGGATTTAAACATATCTATACTCAACACCATGGAATATCTCTTTCCATATATATTCTAAAATAGAGATCTATACTTTCATTTGGGCTAATTAAAAACATGAAACATATATACCTCCAGTATGACTGTTTGGTCGTGAAGAAACATGTGAACGTTGATAGCGCTCTGTTGCCTCTCTCTGTTGCTCACGTCTCTTATTTAAAATTAATTTCCTCCTCTTTTCCTCACGATCTGCTTCAGCTCTGCGTTTGGCTGCCAGTGCCCTATTACCAAAGTATAGATAATAATTAAAATTACAGTCCATTGACTAAGAATGAACAATGTCTAGCTATAAAATCAGTCTTCAAACACACTTTAATAAAATTCATCAGTTTGGAAATATGTAATATCAAAGTTTTACTTTATACACAAACAATTTTAATGTTATACGTACATTCTTTGTGTAGAAAGTAAAACTTTGATATTTCATACATACTGTTAATTTAGAGCACTCTTAATTAAATATAGATTTTTTAGTGAAACTTTTTGTCTATGAAAGACAGGTTTACAAATTTGGCAGGATGTCTCTGAAAGAAAGGTGTTACTATGTTAACAGAAAGGGTGGTATATCTCAACACTGATAATTACATTGTACTGACACTAGTGACGGGAAGGAATGCAATATCTCATTCTCATCACACATTTGACTGTGATGGCAGAAGAGGTGATCAGTACAAGTGTTGACAAAATTTTACTGCAAATATAGGTTTACCCAAGCTCTTATCCATTAATACTCATATTGTCCTTAAATCCTTTGTCACAGTATTACAATTATGGCATAGTCAGTAATCCTGATTATATATCTTTATATGTACATTGTATATATTCTACATCACAGTACAAACTTAAGCTAGGCTTGAGGCAGACTCATGTACATGTATACTGGAGCCTGGAATCTAATATAAACAACACATGCGGCCTGCCCTTGAAATTAATCAATACATGGAATGCTTGTTCAATAATGTACACACTGCTGGTATAGGTTAATTATTTTATGACCATTGTATATCTGACTGGGATTGATTATATTTTTAAGACTTCTAATACAAATACAGGGTGCAACATCTAAAACATTTTCTAGAACACTTACCTCCTGCGTTTATTTGTTTCATAGGTGAGCTTTTTAGACCTGGCCAGGGAGTCTGCCTTGCTGTCATACTCTAGTTGTTTTAGATGATCCATGCGCTGCGACTGCAGACCTCGATACTGTTTTCTGTAAATAACTTGTTAAGGAGCATGCACTGTACATTGCACTGTATTCATATTTTACAAGTCTATAATTTTACATTTAATAACACTACTGTATAAGTATATATGTATATAATAGGGCCAACGTCAGGTGTAGGTTTGTGGGTTGTTCAGTGGGGCGCTTTGCTTCGAGTACAGATACCAAAAGGTATCCAGGGCGATAACAGAATATATAGGCACATATAAAGAAAATGGATATAATCACAACATTAAAACCCACGTATTGGTGACGCTCGAGTATGTTGTGATTTTATCCATTTTCTTTACTTTATAAGTAATTATATATAATGATGCATCAAAAAGGACATTAATGTTGTAACTTGTTTAATTTATGGATGTGTAACAGGAAAGAGAATAGTGTGCTTCCTCCGGGGATCGAACCCTTGATCTCCAGGTTCCTAGTCGGACGCTATACCACTGAGCTAAAGGGAAATTCCCGCTAGCTCAAAGCTAGAAGGCGACCTTAATCCTATGTACAATTGAACCCTGCAACAATACTCCCTCCTTTTTAAATGTGTTCGCTCTCGAACAGCACAACCCAGATTCTAACTCCCTGTCACTACAGAGAGGGCCACGGACACCATTTGTAACAGGAAAGAGAATAGTGTGCTTCCATCGGGGATCGAACCCTCGATCTCCAGGTTCCTAGTCGGACGCTCTACCACTGAGCTAAAGGGGATTCCCTCTAGCTCAAAGCTAGAAGGCGACCTTAATCCTATGTACAATTGAACCCTGCCACAGATGGATTGAGGACTGGGGGATGGAGGCCGGGTCTTACATGGGGGACAAGACTGAAACTGTGGGTATCCTAATACTGAAATATATGGTGAAAACTACCAAGATATAAAATGGTTGGTTGTTTACAAATGTAAGTCAATTGCTAACATAGTCGACAAACACATGTACAGTCAGGATGGGGATAGCAAAGTTATAAATGTTTCAGCAAAAACATGTTAATAGTATGATTATCACCATAAATTAAAATACAACATAAGGCTTCAAAATTTGGATTGCTGATACTTGAAAAAATGACAAGTTATCATGAGGTAAAATTTTACTATTTAAAGTATGAAGATTCACAGCATATCCCATATGTGCGACATACAGGTGTGTACCTAGTCCTATGTGTAACTGTAAGCCCAGGCGAGGAACATAAAAACAGTTTTAAGGAATTTTGAAGCATGAACATTGCTATCAGAGATAGTTATTTTAGATAATTATAAAAGAAATTTCAGTAAATTTCATTTTTGTGAGTCAGTCAGGCTACTGCAAACAAACAATTTTTAATGCATTGGTGTTCCTAAATGGTTCCGGGTTGTTTCGCCCCAAATCCCTTTCGCCCTAGGTTGTTTCGCCCCAAATCCCTTTCGCCCTAGGTTGTTTCGCCCCAAATCCCTTTCGCCCTAGGTTGTTTCGCCCTAAATCCCTTTCGCCCTAGGTTGTTTCGCGCTAAAAGAAAAACATTAGGGCGAAACATTGTTTGGTATTTTCTTTCAATTTTAGTAGTTTTAAGTCACAAATTAATTAAGTCTTCTTAGTTTTCTATATCATTAAAATCAATTTCATAAAAAAAGTGTTTGGTCTTGTTTTTAAGCGAGTGTGACAAACGGCAGCTGTGAAAAGCTGACTCCGCTATCACATACTACATGAATTTTACCTAACACCAATGCAGAAAGTTATCAATAAGTTGACATATTTAAATATTAATTATTATATTAACGTATAATTTTTTTTTTTAAATAGGGCGAAACAACTTAGGGCGAACAGGATTTAGGGCAAAACAACCCTTAACGAAGTTAGTATGAACAGAATTTAGGGCGAAACAACCTGTTACCTTCCTAAATGGAAATAGACAAAATAATTTTACCACATTTCACTCTTAATTACACATATCTTCATTTAGTCTGCAAAACTCTTTTTTAGTGGGTTTTTTTGTGTAGAGAGACAGAACTTAAACCATATAAAAAGCTGAATGTTCTCCCAGACTATTCATAAGGTTTGGTGCACATTGCTTCCCATTATTTCCTGTACTTAAAAATTGAATTCATCCTCTGTCAATTTTATCAAATATCAAATTACAATTTGGTATATTCACATGAACGACATATCTTCTGTGTCGCTTACTTTATTCTGTATTTTTAAAGATTTCGTCTGGTGACATTTGTTGCCGGTTGAAGACGCTTTTATGTATGACACCTGTCTACTACTGTACAGTAGCTATGCAGTAGGCCTACATATACTGTATTGTAACATTCTTGCCTCCGAGGACGGTAGTCCTGTATCAGTTAATAAAATGAGTAAATGACTATTTATTACATTAGAATGTAATGTTAAATCTAAACATTGTTAATTCCTTGGCAGAGGCACGATTTATAGCTTTTAAGAGGAACAACGTTTTCTTACATGACCTGTTTCTATCCAGAAAAGGATACGAGTAAGCTCCTGGAAGCATCCCTGCTTTCGCATCGTCGACGTCGTCCATTATTTATTATTATTCTTTGTTATCCCTTGGTTGTTACATTTTAATTATTACACGAAACATATCCAAACTATGGTGAGTTTCCCTGGATTTGATTTAAGCTCAGATATGGTCCCCATCGAAAGAAATCCGGAACAATCACAAAGATAATAGCATAACTCCGGTGCTAGATACCACTATTGCCGCCATATTGTTTTGGTAACAACATGCGCAGGTATGAACAAGTTTGGCATCCACTTGCGCACATGTCAACGACGGAAGTGAAAAGAGTCTAAACTATGATTCGGAAATAAACTTTCATTGTGAAGTCCGTCACTTATCTCTGCGGTTCAAGGTTGACAAAATTCACCCACGAATTGTTTTATAGAACAGAAAAGGAAACAAAAACAAGCGTCGTGACACTTAAAATGTAAATTTGCTTCCTGTTTGATAATCAACTTTTCAACACTTAGCTACAAGAATGAAGTAATATGTTCAATAGAATAATTACGGGAATAGGGAAGGGGGTAATGGATTGGTACGCAGTGGAAACCAGGAATGAATAACATATCAATATACATATGATCATCAGATGGTAATATCATATTGCTCTATTGCAATGAGTATGTGGGACACGAATCTGTAAAATATAACTATGCAATAGTTGATGAAAATTTCAGCAATGCTGTAAATGGACACTCGATAAATGTTAAAATGTATATACAAGTTACATAGAATAAATCACCACTAAATCAACTATTGTCAAAAATTAGAATGTCACAAAGCACCGCCATGATTATTAAAAACGTTGCAGTTCACATACTAGCCATCACACTTATCAAATTTAAGTCCATAAAACACTTTCCCGCCTCGTCCCTGGCACGTCCTGCTCTTTCAAGGTAACACATCACTTTATCAAACTATCATAATCATGGTCAGTTAGTGACATACTATGGTATAAAGAAATGCAACGGCAAAATCACTGAATAAGCATATAAATCCAAATACATTTTAAAACATAGAAGTAAAACGAATGCAACACAACATACATACATATATATATATATGTCAAAAAGAAATTGTTAGTAGACCCTACTATTCGTTTATTTGAAATCTTTTAGCTTTGAGTATATAATTTTGGACGGCTAGAAAAATTGAAGTGTTTTCTTGATGGGTTAGAAAGTCATCACAAAAGATTAAAAGATTAGTTGATACGGCAAACTCACTATATGAAGCTATCTAAGTGCTGTTTATTTATTACATTTTAGCAAATAATGTGTTGAGTTCTCAATGGCACCGCAGAAACAATTCGGGGATGGTATGATGTTTTTCGTAAACAAGTGTTCTTTTAGGGAGCTACATGACATACGCAGTCTTGCGTGGTAGATTTGACCCAGACGTGAACCCTGAAAGTAGTTTTGAAGGTGGACATGAATTACTCTGAGATTTCAGAAAGGCTTTTAAATGGGAAATGGAAGGGTTATTTCTAATATGTAATGGAAGAGAATTCCAATTGTTTAAAACAGAAGGAAGAAATGCATTTAGATAAATATTTGTTAAATGTTTATCATATTTTAAGCAAAAAAATGTTAACGTATAACTTTTCAAAATACCAAAGAAATTTTTTTTTGGCCGGTTAATTTTGTTAAAATAAAGTTGACTTATTATATCGAAATACACCAATCGGCAATACCAAACCAAAGACATATAAAACCATGACTCTGACCAAACATATCATAGCCAGACCGCACCTCTAATGGAAGAGAAAATCAACATCTTGTTTCAGAGGCGACAAAGTGACACATTAATCTCTTACAATATCAGACTAGTCAGTAACAAACAAATATGACTGATATTCTTTATATTTATTTATTATTAAAAACAATATCTTCATGTTTTGAAAGCGGGGCATGCTCGGGTGGTGTTCTGGTCCGGTCTGTAATTAACTACATCCTTATATGGAAATCACGTTGATTGCACATTTGCGGCATGTGTTGTTTGTTTACATAACATTTCCCATTGATCAGTTATTAGGAGGAAATCCTCTTAAGTTCCCTCCCCACGACATCACGCACGATTGTCTAGTTATAGTTCCATCTCACGATTCAAGATTCAAGATTTTTTTATTACACTCTGACACACAAAGTGTGTAACAAGAGGTCAAACAAAATAATATCAATCAAATAAAGCATGACAGAGAGAGTAGATTACACATGGGCAGATTAAGCATTATTTCATGGATTATGAATTAACGGTTACCTAATGCCATTTCAACTTATAAATGCATTCCCAAACGAAGATCTAACTGAACACTGGAGGATATATATATAAAATATTTCCAAAAATACATTCCTAATCACAATGATGTTACCTTAGGTACCAATTATTTGACCTCAATATTATCTACAAACAACTCGCAGTTTATACTGGACTCTTGCTTATTCATTAAACAGTCTCTAGAACCGAGGAGAGTGGGCTTGCTGACAGTGTAACTAAGGTATGGACTTTGCAGCTAAAAATGTTTAAACAAATGTTCTATTTGAAGCTATGTTAATTTTGTTCATGTTAACTGAGACGTATAATACATGTATTATACGTCTCTGATGTTAATGTATATTAGAAATATAAGCAATCACTATGCGACTTTTCTACATGTACATGTCTATGTATGTATTTCACTGTGTTTTACTATATTGCCTTGTAACCTACTTTGTAGTTACAATGTACAAGGACAAGCACAGTGTAAGAAAAGTGGCTCTATAATTCACAGAAAGCAATAACTCGTTTGGGTATATTGCCGCGGAACAGTTACAAGCGCCGAAGTCCTTTCACAATCTAAATTTGAGAACAGTACAAGATTATCCTACCAACGGTAAGTGGAATCACAGGGACTAGCCTGAGTTTCCCCTGGTCCTGACACCGGACTGAGACATTTTGACAGATATATGTCTGGTTTGGGACCTCTATCTGTCAAAATGTCTCAGTCTGGTGTCAGGGTCAGAGGAAACTCGGGCTACACAGGGACCAGAAAATTTGTTTCAGCTATATTTGGACCTAAATCAATATGTGCATCCCTAAAACGTGTTAAATTATATTCTCAGGTCCCTGTGAATGGAACATGCGGCTGTAGCCGTTTTACAATTAATACAACAAATCGTAGATAACCGTTCAAGTAACCATAATGTTCATATTTATAATCTACAAGAGAAAGGACCAAGGGATACCAGAGGAACGTTTGCAAAATTGGAGATTAATCTTGAATGTCAAGTTCTGAGGCTTGTTTAAAATTTGGCGGGAAACGAACATAATTGACGGGGAATTAGCATTTTTTAAGTGATATAGGCGATGACCTGAATTTCCGATGCTGTGCAATTGAATCTTCCCTTAAACACTCGATTTAGCTATGTACTTAATACTTAATGTTGAAATATTTTCATAAGTTTTTCTACCTTGACTGACTTCTAAACATGTACGTAAAGTTTTCGTGAACATGTGTTCATTTGTCAAGAAATGAGGTCGAGAGACGTGATCAAAACTTCAAGCAAATCATATCTTATGGTAAAGATGATTAATAAGATCAATAACGACATAATCGAACGTATGTCCAACGCCAACGTGTGAATCGTTTCGAGAAATACTGACCAGTGCCACAAGTAGTACTAATTAAGTTAGTGTGTTCACAATGAAGCCATTTTCGGTTTAAAATTGCTTTATGCACGGTTAACATTTGACTGTGAACAGCGATGATTAAAATAAAATATTTTAAGTCCAGTGGTGAACGCCACTAACGAACCTTGGCCACCTAGATCCGGATTCCATGCGTTGGTCCGTGATTTAGAAGTATCCTACCACCGGATTTCTCGTGGGTGATCGTTCTAATTGTAATGTAAATACGAAAGGTTCCGATGTATTTAAGATGGAGGGAAGCTTTTCTTTAAGGTAAACTGGGGATATTGTGAGTACCGATCCATCTCAAAGCAAAGGTGTACTACTATTTTATAATGATGGATGAATTTCTTCTGAAATAGTAAGTCTTACTTCATTAGTGCTTCATTAAAAAATGCTTTCTTTGTATAGCATTTGCAATTATGAGCCCGTAGCTCGATAACTCTGTTTACAAATCGAGGGCTTTTATTTTTGCACAGGGGTTCGTTACAAATAAAAATATAATCACAGGAATTTGACTTTATATCAATATAATTTAAAACTTAAGACGAAAAATAGCTCCTATGGTGCAAATGTGTATAATCACATAGACTATTCCCAATAGCAGACGTTGTAGGCCTAAGGCAATCTAATCGATGCAAATCTTTTACACTAAAATATATTGAATATTACAGTGGATTGAAGTTGGTTGGTAGAGAGAGAGAGATTGAGGAGTCTTGGTCCTCGGCAAGATTGAGAACAAATAAGTGCAATACCCTGCAGTGCAGATGTTTGAGTACTCATCGTAGGACTACAAGCTGTTCTACTTCATTTCTTTGGCAACACACTTGCACAGGTTTATACAACAGATCTAGAGATGGCCTGAGTGTAAGAAGAGGTTGGATATGTGGACAGATATATAGTAAAACCCTGCTAAGTCGAACTTGTGAGATCCAGATCAATAGTTCAAGGAATATATATATACATGCATATGTTACTCAATGAATCTGAGGTTCGGCCAACATCGTCATGTTTTGATCAGGTGGGACGACAGATCGCACTATCACTGCAAATATTGTGGATATTAGTTGATTCACGTAAAATAAGAAGTTCAATAAAGATGACAACATTTAATAAGATATAAAATTGCTCAAAAATGAAAGCATATAGCTCTCGATATTAAGAAAAGGAGTAAAATAAAAAAAATGCTATATACATGTATGTAACGTACTTGTTGTTTAAACATTGTCTGCCATACTTTATTCGGCTTTGTTATTTTTACAAAATATCACGAGAGAAACTCTTCGATCATCTTAAAATGAAGGAAATGTTGAATCCCTGTTATAATAATGTTGATTGATAACGAAATTAACAATCACAACATATATATATTCAAGTTTGAAAATCTTTAAATATGGTTATAAGAATCCACTATGTAAATTCCACTTTATATTGCCATAAGCCGAAAAAAGTTTTGTACGTAAACACCAGTGAATAAACACTTCTGCTAAAACATTGATGTCAAAGACCTGTATGAACATACATAGACCGCAGTCTTTGTCTTGAGGCATGTTGATTGCATACTGTAGGTGTGATACACAGATGAACTACCTGTTCGATGAATGGATAGTAAGGTCTTATGTGGTCGGGGATAAATCAGAGCTCGAGGAACATGGGGTATTCGAGCAATGGCAAGTAATCCAAGGTTAATTAACTTACAAAGAATATAAAGGAACAGTGTCTGGACCAATCAAGCTATTTGAGGAACAGGGGGTATTATTGTAATTATGCGAGTTTGAGTACCTAAGTGGGGTTTCACTGTATTTAAAATTCATGTTATTATAAATTAAAGGATAGCTCTTGCTGAGGACGAGTTAAAATTCCCGATCTAGAGATGTGAAGAATAAGGCAAAAGTAAACTTGCAGCTATGGAGGCTGAAGGTTGATTCCTGTGGAGTGTGGGATAGTGTGTGGTCCGATCTCTGTAGTAGTTCTTACTCCTTAGTGGTCTTAATTGATGTAGACATGTACAGAACAAGAGTACTCCAACTGGCTTCTAAGTTCTAATTAGTGTAGTTGATGCATTTGCCCCTGTCTGGTGTAATCTGTTGGGTGCATATGTCGAAAGAAACCATGGCTCTGATGTGTGAGCCTCAGGATGGTATATGTGACTCCCATATGTTTGCTCCCCGAAGCAAGGTACATGTACATTCTTCATGTATATGGAATAGTTGAAAAATGCAGTAAACTGCTTTTTTGACAAATTTCAATGTATAATGAAACATGATGTATCTGCATTAGATCCACCATATCAGAGTCAACAGGTAGATAAGGTTATAGACAAAAAGATACATCACTACGCCTAAGAATGTTCTTGCCTACACCATAGAACTTATAGGTCCATGTTGAAAAGTTATTTCATGATCATGAAACATCCTAATTTCTGATTGGCTATTTAACACATTCACCCCTAAAGACACATTTGAACTCTTCCAATTCATAGGTTGGAACAGTTCATTATCAAATTTCAGGGGTGAATGAGTTAATATCCTTTTCACGGCAAGGGGTTAGATGTTGAATTATTCTAATCCTTGACCATGATTTCTAAACATATCTGGTGAAACTTGTAGATAACTGTATCATAAGTCACGACAAGGCAATGTGTCATGGTAAGGAACATGTTGACAATGTTGTTTGGTGATTTTCAGTAATTCATTTTGCTTCTTCTGTTCAGTTCCTTTCAGAATGAGTAAATGACACGAATGTTAAACAGATGAGTTGATATCAGAAATGCTACAGTGACCGCATCCTCAAGATGGGAAGAACAAGATTATCAGACACTTCCAGTGACTCGAGCAAGAAAAAAGATAAGCAGGTACGTATATACTGTAACCCAGCCTTCTGAGGTAGAAATGTCCTGTAACCCAGCCTTCTGAGGTAGAAATATCCTGTAACCCAGCCCTCTGAGAAGGACATATCCTATAACCCAGCCCTCTTAGGTAGAAATATCCTGTAACCCAGCCTTCTGAGGTAGATATCCTGTAACCCAGCCATCTGAGGTAGAAATATCATGTAACCCAGCCTTCTGAGGTAGAAATATCCTGTAACCCAGCCTTCTGAGGTAGAAATATCCCTTCTGTGTCTACTGGAATACATAATAATAATTGCTAATTTTCTTATGAAGTAATTAATAATATATTCATGACTGTCATGTTTATATGTACATGTAACCGGCATGTGTTATATATATATGATTACTTCATTTTCATGAGCCGTATTATGTGCTTTTATTTCTTTTCTATATATAAAACTCTCTTTTTGAAGTAGACACAATATAAATATAATGAGAATGGCTATTCTGTGGTATGCCTGACTTCATACACAGTACCAGGTACTACACCACAGTTCATATGGAATTATATTTCAGATTATTTCACAACATATAAACATTGTACATTATATTGAATTTCCCTCTGTATTTTATCCAAAGTCTTGGAAGATTCAACATTATCATATGTTTATGTTCATTTTGAATTTTCTGGTATATTTGTATAAATTTCAGGCAACTTCATCTAAGTCTTGTCAAAATGATAAGGACAATTCAGACTCTGATTCTGCAGACGTGCAGCCCCAGGTCTACCCTGGTACCCATTGGCCCCTTGACGCCACATTGGAGGTAAATGCTATTATATAATAACATATCAAACATTTTGCTATTCAACTAAGATACTTAACACATTAAAAATTCAGCTATAATATTTGACATCTGTAGCATAGGTGGTCATAGATATATTAACATTACAAATTCTAAGAGGTGATTATGTTGAATTACAGAGCAAAGTTTTTTTAAATAGTTGATGAGCTTATGATGGAATGTCTTCTTTAAAATATATAGGTAACCATGTTTATACTAAGTGTTTTATTGATCCAGGCTTATGCACACATAGTATCAAATTCATTATGTTGATATTGAATTATATATAAATGTAGTAATAAAAGTATTCTACTTTTAAAAACATATCATCAAAATTTAAGAAGTTGGTGTTGTGATTGATTTGTTTTAAGTAATGCAACATATGAATTGAACAATTCCCAAATAAAGTTTTCATTTTCTAATGATTATGATGTATCCTCCCAAAAAGTGGGTTTACTGTAGAATCATTTATTTTCTTGTGGATAAAATTTTATGGTTTTCATATATATACTAGCCTGTTTCAAGGCATTATATTTTGCTGATTTCTGATCTATATCATACCAAATTCATGTTTTCGTGTGGATTTAATTTCGTGAATTTTTGTTATCCACGAAATAAACAAAATTTAATGTCCCACGAAAATTTATGATTTTACAGTACTCAAAATATTTGCAGAAAAACTCACAATAAAGAAATTGATTATGAGAAGTTCTATTTACACAACTAATTTTTTTTTTTAGAAAATTTTATTGGTTGTGTAAAAAGAACTTCTCATAATCCATACCTACCAACCTGAAGAAAATGTTTAGAAATAAAGAAATTGAGTTTACAGTATAGAAATAAAGAAATTGAGTTTACAGTATATGTTCTTCCACTACAGTTGTACATCAACTATGATGCAGTAAAAGAGATCAGAGGGGTGAAGTCAGACTTCTACCCCATGTTGTTCTACCTAACTAAGTGTGACTACAGCAGTGTGGCCAGAGTGGTGTCCAAACTACCGGTCATTATGGATCACCTCCAGGCCAGGTAATTTATAAACACTTACAGCACTGACCCCGCTAACACTTTAACTATTCACACTTTATCATAATGCTTAGATATAAATAATACATGGAAATATAAATGATACAGTGCATGACACTTAAATATTTCTATGAGAAAATTATTGTTAAAGTTATTTAGTTTTACAAATTGGACTTATCATGGGATTGAAATTAAGTATGCTGATAGAGCTAAGTAAATATAAAATTTCAATCACATATTTAAAATATTGGTATTTGAAAAAATATATTCTATTTTGTATGTAATCATTTTTAACAAAATGTTGGGATTAGTGGTATCACTGTATGTACATGTATAGTGTCATGCAGTTTCTGCCCATCATTTGTTTGTCACAAGGGATTTGTTTTATACATGAATTATTGCATAAATTCATGGGAATTTGTTGCACTCTTTCAAATTCTAGTATTACACAAATATTTGTCTGAAGTTATATGCATAAATCTGCACCAAAAATACTACTTAATAAAAAAAGAAAAATTAGCTCAGTGGAACATTATTTGTAACAATGTTGTGGATTCGCTCAGCCAGAATCCAAGAACAATCAGTACCGGTCATTTCTGTACTTCCAAATGATGGAAAGAACGGGGAAAATTAATTAATTATTCTAGCTAGATAGTATCATACAATTTGTTTCTTTGTGGATAGATATGTAAATGTACCATGGTAATAAACAAGATACAAAGAATATATGTAAAATATATACAGGAAAGTTTGTGAATGAATGAAGTCATAAGTGAAAATATCTCCAATTTTGTTATTTTTAATATTGAACTGGTAATTCTTTGGTGAAATCTCTCTTCCTTCACATCAAAGATTGTGTGTTGTCAAATGATTAGTGAAATGTAATCTGTGCAAATTAATGAATTGACAAGATGGCATGCAGAAATATTCCTCATCTCTTTTCAGGCTGGATAAAGTAAAAGGTTTGACACAGACTTCAACTTCTGTGGAGGCGAAACCAGCACCACCAACGACAACACCTCTTATTAGAGGTAAATCTGACAAGAGAAACTCAATAGAAATACTGAAAACCGGTAAACTTTCGCCCAGTCAAATATTCTCCCTTCACTGGTAATATATATTAGCCCAGTGTATATAAACTTTATTTATTTCACAACAATTATGAAACAAGTTATTCAGCTTAAATAAATCACTCTTGTTAGCCCGAATGTTAGCACACAGTGGGGGGGGGTGTCTTTGTGTGTGTTGAGGAAACCGGAGTACCCGGAGAAAACCCATGTGGTCGGGCAGGTGACCCCATACCTTTTCACGTTCGATCGGGAAATCAAAACCCAGTCGCCTTGGTAAAAGGCAAGTGCACTATCCACTGCACCACCTGACCACCCCCAGTGTAAATTTCACCCTTCACATGTTTTTACTCTGTAGGGACAATTGTGTACAAATATTTGCTGTTATTATAAATTTGCCCTCTTTGAAAAAGGCGAAAATTAAACTTCAGCGAAAATTTCCTGGCATTTAGTAACGCTTTGTTCCAACTGAAGTGTAAGGTTGATAGGATTGCTTTAGGTAGCTCTTGGTGAAACAGTAAAACAGATAAATTAACCACTGATGCAGATTTGAACAGATGTATTCAATATTACACCGCGCACAAAGTTAAGGAGAGTAAACTGAATCACAGATTCTTTCATCCATCAATTTGTGGGCACATTGGTTTTTGGTCTGTATCTTTTGCCCCTTTGGCAGCTGTATTCGTTAACTAAGAATGAAAATGATCTTTATTGAATTTGTGGTCAAAAGTCAAGGTCATCGCAGCCTTATTCAAACTAGGTATTAGTGTGATGGAGGGGATTAGTAGGGTTATAAAGTTAAATAATTGGTCTCTTTTAATCAGATCTGAAGACTGCTAAGGAGGAGATGCTGAAGCTCGTTTCCAATATGTGCTTGAGTCAGAAGGATGCTGGTGAATTATTGGACTGGGTCAAAACCCTAGAGACAAAGAAGAAGGGAAGAACTGGTGAGTGTTTCACGTACCAAAACACAGGTTTGCTGCATTATACAGGGAATACACACAACGAGGTCATATTTTTACATACATTGTGTGTAACGACTCTTGTTATGATCATGACAGCCTTTGTGGTGTCAGAGTTCAGATAAACTTAACATCATAGAATTGTGTTGTTACATTAACTCATTCACCCCTGAAATTTAAGAATGAACTATTCCAACCTTTGAATTGGAAGAGTTCAAATGTGGCTTCAGGGGTGAACGAGTTAATTAGACACACTAGACATGAAGCAAAGATAGAAACACTGATGTGTCAACAACAGTGGTGTTTAGTTTACACAAGGGTTCAGTGTATCTGTCATGTTCAATAATGACAATGTCATGTCAAGTGTCTGTTCAATAAGATATCAATGATAATCCCATAAAGATTTTGGACAGTCGTGCATGTTCAATTTCATATTTCAAATATTTACCTGCAGTCAGATTTGATTTTTTTTACTAGAACCGTCTATATTCATAGAAAATGTTGAAAATTTTCACTAGCCTCAACATGAAATATATATATATATGAAAATTTTCACTAGCTTCAACACACAATATATATATATGAAAATTTTGGAGGAGATTTAATTGTGAGCAGCACAAACTTTCAGCATAAGGCGATCGATGGAAAAATGGTAATTTTTTAGAGTAACGTTATTCTGTTTCTAGGATACCAGTTGTGTGAACAAGAGGTGACTGAAGACCTTCCAAAGCCTGTCACCAGGACACAGTCAAAGACAGAAGACAAGTTGAGCTCCAGTAAGATACAAACAAACTCTGATAGTAAACCTGTTTCCACGAATACTAAACCTGTTTCCACGAATAGTAAAAGCGTTTCCACGAATAGTAAACCCGTTTCCATGAGGAATCAAGCAAAAACTGACAGCAAGAGTGATGCAAAAAATACTGTTAAATCACCCCAGAAAGATGCAGTGCCTATAGGTCGCAAAGTTAGACCTCCTACGGGGGAGGAGATCTTTGCTAATATAAACAACATGACTGTCGCACAAATTTGCACCCAGGCTAATAATGCAAATAGTAAACAAGTGAAGAAAAGCCTAAAAGACAAAACTGTGATAACAACTTTAAGGAAACGAGGCAGACCCCCCAAGCGCAAGTTTTATCAGGCATCCGATACTGATTCCGAGACAGTGACAGTTTCTACGAAGCGTAAATCAAAATCCCGCCCCAGTAAATCTGTTTCACCAGCAGCATCTGAGTCATCATCCAGTCAACCCATTTTATCTTCGCCGACAAGCTCACCTCTCAAGTTCAGCCTCAGTAAAGGGGCAAAACAACATGCTTCTGATGTCATTAAAGATATTCTGAACAAGCAACAACAGTCTTCTGAGGTAGGCAAGAGAGACATAATTGCAGGAGATGAGTGGTCTCAAGGGACCCCACAGCCAGTCCGTATCCCAACTCAACCTTTCCGCAATAACTTTGGCCCAGTTCCTATGTGTCTATACAGAGTGCAGGCTGACACTGATGTGCCCACTGAGAACGATTCCCTTGACTTGATCACGCCCAAAATCGAAATTGACAATGCCGAGGAAGACGAGCCATATGGAAGATGCGTTGTGAAAATGGAAGTGGGAAATTCTGATGTATCAATGTTACAGTCGTCATCCTCAGTAGAGTCATCTGTAACAGCGTCTGGCTTGTCACAGAAGTTGGCGCCAATCATAAGGACTATCTGCACTGGGCCGGTGTGTGGGGGAGACAACTGTGTATACGAACATTCAGTCATTGTGCAGGATTGTGACAGTCCTGAAATGGATTGTGTTGTGGAATCATTTGTTCAGGAAGCTAAAGAGGCAGAGCCAATCATCATCATTGACGACTGTTAAAAGTGATTGTCATACATGTGCTACCAGCAAACCTATTTCTTAATGATATTGTGCATGTGTGCAGAAATTCTTCTTTATTTATTTTTTAGTGGGACCATGTATTAGAGTTACTGCATTTGTAAAGGTTGTTCTATCTAAAAAGTAGACTTGACTTAAAGGACATCCAGTAATATCCAGCAAGATGTCATGGTCCCAGACTCCAAAAAGGCTGGTTTTTCTACTATGTACATTGTATGTAAACTTTATAGACACACTGCCATATTCAACCAAAGGTTCGGTCCCTTTATATAGATATTACTGATTTCTACTCATATCAACATGAATTTTATTTTCAAAAACAGTGTTCGATCATTTGTACCAGGATGCTGAGATTTGGCATTGAGGTACTTATACAATTAACATTCATTTGATGCAATCAAAACAGGGAAAAAATTCAACTTTTATGTACATTTTTCACCTGTTTGGATTATTGGAATTTTTGCAAAAAAAATTGGTGGTTTTTTTTATACATTGCTTCTCAAAGAAATCGTCTTGTCATGTTTTAGTTTTTAAGAGGAGTTTGATGCTATCCTTGGATATTTACGCATACTTCATGATGTTACACACTTGCGATTGGTGTATTTGTTTCCATACAATAAATGCCCTAAAAATGGTCCAATTTTAATGAAATTAGGTATGTTCATACATATTATCATGTTTCAGAATGAGTTCGGTCGTTAGTGTGATCTGTGCACATTAATGCCAAAATCTCCATGTTGCGTTGGAGTGAAAGTGTTCACTATAACTTTCAATACATTTCTACTGAGATGGTATTCGGTGTGGAGCTTCCCAAGGCCTCCAGCATTTTTGCACAGCAGAAACAGTGATTTTTAACTGTTTTTAACTGTTTTTCGCACCCTTATTTTAAAATGTTCTTCAAATGTTTCTCTAACAGTTCTTTGTACTTAATACACGTTTCCTTTAAAGTGAAAAATAAAGTTCCTCAAGAAATGTAACCCTGCCATCTCTGTCTTCCACCATCGCATCAGTGAAAGGCCATTTTCATCTTTTAGTCTGTTTATAAGTTCAACATCATGGTTAGAGTTTGCATTTAGTTCCATACCTCCGATACTATAAGTCCCATAGTAATCTGAACTTTAACCCATTCACCCCTGAAACTTCATAATGAACTCTTCCAACCTTTGATTTGGAAAGGTTCAAATGTGTCTTCAGGGGTAAATGAGTTAAACATAACTACACTCTATGAGTACTACCCCATGTTACATGTAGGTCACCATGACCTATATTTTCCACATTATCAAGGTTGGTTGGACTTCGTATCTAGCTCTGTTTCTTTATTTTTACTAGTCCTATGATTATCAAACTTGATATGCAGATACTTCTTGATGACCATGAAATGTTCTGCTCCAACTACTGGTTTGCTATACTTCTTTGGTTAAACTTTTCATTTACTTTCATTTTTTTTGTCAAAGCAAGAGTGGGGATATATGTATGTTTTATGAACATTTTACTAGTTATGTCCAGAATACTGATACACATGACTATCTGGTTGATTTTCACAAGCAAATCTACAGCCCAAGTTTCCTCTGGCCCGACACCAGACCAAGTCATTTTGACATATACAGTGGATGTCAAAATGTCTTAAGTTTGGTGTCAGGACCGGAGGAAACTCGGGCTAGCAAAACTATTGAAAAGTACAGTTTACATTGAAATAAATTATGAAACTCCCACAGAAATATATATTTATAAGATAATAAACTTGAGCTAGAGTGTACATTACTATACAGTTATGACAATACTAGGTCATGTGAATTTGCTGACCGTGTTGAAGTTTGACTTTTGGACATCATCATGGTTTTGTGTTTGAATGATATTCTTGGTAACTGCTTATTCCTTTAAAATCTACATTGAATGTGCTAGTTAAAGCTCCTGTGTTTTTTCTACTGAAATTTTACATTAACCTGTTCTTACGTGATATGGGAAAATCTAGCATTTTTTTTACTGAAATTATAATTAGACAGATAATTCTCATTTTTTCTTTATTTGGGAAATCACTGCATTTTTTCTTAGGGGAAACAGCCTGTATTCGGTTTTAATACTAGGCAAAACAAAACTCCCTGTCACTATTACTATAGAACAAGTTCGTTTTTTACCAAAATACATGTTGGCTGCATGCTGTCTATTTTGATATGACCACCTGTATGGGGCAATGAAAAAGAGTTGCATTTCCCTTCTTTTTGTTGTTTTCAATGAATTTAGTTTTAATGTGATTGTTGCATGTAGTGTCTGTATATATTAGTATGAAAAGATCATTCCCATTATGATAGCTAATTAACATGGATCGACTACATTTCCATTTTTTACGCCCGTCAAATTTGATGAAAGTATTATGGTATGGGGTTGTCAGGCTGGCGGGCGTAAACTTTTGTTTGTCAGGCAATCTCCTCCTACATTTTTCAACCGATCTCTTTGAAACTTGGTATACATTATAAGCATGATATGAAGTTGTGTCTCCCTTAAAAGAATTTTGATTCGTCAATTTTTGCCAAAAGTTATTGCCCTTTGTTCATTTCAGTATTGATTTTTTTGTCCAGAGATCACCTCCTACATTTTTTGATGGATTTCTTTGAAACTTAGTAGGCTAAATAATCATGAGATGTTGTTGTATTTCCTTGAAAATAATTTGCGGTACTCTTGCTAAGATAGAGTGATCAAAGATTTTTCTACTGTAAACAAAAAAATGAGAAAAATAATTTTCCTGTTATATTTTGTTATCCTTCCTTATTCTTGTAAAGACATAATAGGTTGCGGTTCTTGGTGGAGTTAAAATATTTTGAAGTTATCCCATTAATGTAACATGAATTAACGAAAAGCATGACCAGTGTGGGCACTGTGGTTATAAGCTCCTTGTATATTGACAAGAGGTCAGAAAATCAAATCCTTATAGTGGAGCCAAGACATTTTTGGGAAAAGGGAAATTGTATATAATTATATGACATATTTCTGTTTGCTATAGAAAATGGGCAAGCAACTTCAAGTCAGAACACTGTAGAAAAATTTGGAGCTCTTCTTCATTGGAGATACAGAAGAGTGCTTGGACACTCTACCTTAAAATATATATAGCTCACCTTGCCTGTACAACATTTAAAAAAAATGTAGGTTTAATTAAGTGGCTATATGCAGTTAGGGATTTTTTAATATGATGCATCTTTCAGTGTTTATCACATTATTGTTTGGAAAGGTAATTGATAGGGTATTATAAATATTCCTTTGGTTCCAGAAATGTGTTGCTATCAAAATTCTAATTTTGAACAGAAGATTTGCAATACAAAACCAAGTATTGAATCTCGTAAATATATGTTACTAGATGTTAAAAGATGAAGTAGAAGCTGGAGATCAGAATCTAGGTCTGTTTTAATTAACTTGTATTGGAAATGTTCATAGATTTTGAAGAAAACAATTTTGAAAGTTGCTATTATTTTATTTTTTACACAATTGTGAACTACCGGTATTGTCTATTAATCCACTTATCTCATGGACTTAATTTTATGTGAGAATTCAACAGAATTTCTCATGTCTAACCACATTTTTAGTAATTTTGCCCTATCACACAAGAAGAATGCAAAAAAGATATAATAAAAACATTTTAAAAAATGTTCTTCTCTGTGACTAGTGAAAATATGCATAGCGCACCAACAAAAGAAACAGGCAAAAAAAATGTTTTGGCAAATTTTTTGGTACATATGTTGTTCAAATGGCAAATGGAAAAATAAAAATTCATTTGACTTAATATGATTCAGTCTCACTCAAGTTTTTCCATAAACACACTATGAGTAGTAAACTGAGGCTTGTTTTATGAAAATTCTGCTGAAAATTAATTAAGTGTGGTCACAGAAGAACATGTCCATGAGTGTAATGGAATGGACAAAACCTATCAATAGCATTATGTCTATGTCCAACTGCCAATGCTTTTAGTGTTGTCAAGTATTACACGATAACATTTATATACATGTAATACTTACATATCGTAGTGAAAACTATTATTAAAGTAGTTATACATTGTTTCATTTGTCTGTTATTACTTAAAGAATACTGAAGACCCAAGTCGTCTTCTCTTTTAATTAGCCACCCTTTCTTTTTCCATAATGATATTATCACTTTCAGGAATCTTTGCACACAGTTCTGGAGAACTTTCTGACCAAATACATGCCTAAAACTTACTCAATTGTAGAGGGAAACAAACATGAGACTTCAAACTGTTAATAATTTATTGTCGGGTAGAGTATTAAATCAGAAGTCGAGTTTAGACACGTCTGGTTTCCTCCTGTCAAGGCTGAGAGACTCCATTGCTAACACTGGGGTCTGTATAGATGTAGGCTGTCTCTCTGCAGCTCCTGACTGGGGAGGATTCACATTTCCTTCCTTACTTAGTTCCTCTATCTACAATGACGATAAAGCAAATAATTGTATCAATATAAATCAGATAAACTGAATGACGCTACATACCACTGTCAGACCACAACTTCACCAGACCATACCTTGACAATACAGTTCTTAATTTATATCTCACTGTGAAGTTACCTCTGTAATAGGACGAGGAATAGTGATAAAGATAGTGCCGTCGCTGGGGCTCGAACCCGCTACCCTTGGCTCTCCAGCCCGATGCTCTACCACTGAGCTAAAGGGAAATTCCCTACAGCTGATGCTTGTAAGGCAACCTAATCAGTGCACATCTTTTACACCTCATTTAATCTCTGCTAATCTTAATTTCTTGAAGAAAACTTTTTTAACTACTACTGTCAGCAAAGTCAAATACAGGTCATCCAAATTGTATAGAATGATGTGAATAAAGTCTAGATATTGACCTCCAACAGAGGTTTGTTAGAAGTGGATATCCTTGAAAATACCCACACTGATGAGCCACTACACAAGATAGGAACACCAATCAAATGAAAGTCCTGTCACAAATCTAAAATGCTTAAAATTGTTCTTTTCTTAAACAATAGTTCTACAAACCTTTCTCCTTTCTTTGTGGGTTTTTCCTATTCCAAGCCTGCAAAAAAATATCATAATATTAGTTAGAAATGAAACAAAAAATTATCAAAATGACATGTAATCATACTTTTACATACTGCAGAACATGGAGGGTATATTTTTTCCAGTGTTACAAAATATTATTAATTCAAACTGTTGCTGTAGTACATGGTTTCATTGCAATCATGAAAGTAAATTCAGAGTAAAAGTTTCATTTTGTAAAAGACAGTAAGAGGTAAGAAAATATTTTCCAATATTCTTTTATAATACATGCAAATAATGCCATAGTAATTGATGCTACTTTCAATATTGTGTGTGTCCTAACGGAGAGTGACAATGGAAACACCATCTTGAGAAATAGAATTAAAAAGCATCTGAAGTGTTGCCATGGGACACTCAATTTTCATCAATCAGATGTTCCATGAGCAAAAGATACAGAAGAAAACCCATAATTCTTCAGTGAGCACCTCAATGGCCACCGTGTACATTCAAGCAATAGACTTCACCTGGTGAACATATCCTACACTAATACAATACACTACAGCAGACTGCTGTTCAATGAGCAATTTTCTTGGTAAAGTAACTTTTGCTGTCAAGTAAATCAACATTATAAGGACCTTGAAGAAAATTCAATGGTAATATTTCATAACAAAACGAAAGTCACTCATTTGTTACCTGGGCAGGCCTCTGTTGAGTCCCTCCAACAACACACATGCCTTACAGATAGCGTTACTGGAGATGTAGCCACACCGCTCACAGTTTCCTGCACAAATTCAAAATCTGAATAAGATAGGTGTACACAAGAGAAACATGAGTTTTAAGTTTTGTGAACAGATCATGCATACAAATAATGTACACTGTTATAGTTCTGGGGTTGTTCTTCCAGTACAGAAGGGCAGGACAAACTTTACACATTACTAAAATTTTGGGTCTTGAAAGTGTTTGTCCAATTTCTCCTTTTGAATACAACAAGCCATTCGGATTGATATGTCTCGCCTGTGCCCCGCTTTGACTATCAATGCAAATGTCAAGTTTGGTTGGTCTAGCACTTATAGTTTCAGAGAAACTAACTTAAACGCAACTTGATGTTGATGGAGATGCTGACAAAGTCAATGGACCATGAAAGGTAGGCCGCATCCAGCATTTGATGCATGGGTTGAGATATACTACCTTAGATGCATATATGTTCAAGTTTGGTTGGTGTAGCACTATCAGCGAAACTACCTTAAACGCAAAAACTTAATGTTGACACGGCCGCCGGGAAAGCAACGCCTTAGTTTTGGTTCTGAAATTCGTGGCAGCGAGACAAATTGCATTTAGAAATTACATTGCTAAATGCAAATGAATGTTAACAATGAAATTTATATTTTTTTTAAGTAGATATATATTTATAAATCAAGCAGGCATGTATCTCTCACCATTATATTTAAGCAAGCATCGCAAAACATTCTCATTAATGTAATACTGTGCTAGTAAATGTATTGAAGTCATTCCTCAATTTTGGCAACACAATTTCTTCATAGAACACTTGATTCCCTAGTCCAGCTTGCTTCATTACAAATCTGGTTGAAAGATGATAAACTGTTCAGGAGGAGTAGGATTTTAAATACTTAAATGCCCTTATTACCCATCCTCCCTTGAAAGCCCAGTCATAGAAGAGCTACACTCTTCCATTAAACAGTGCTTGATTCCAAGGTTCCAAAGAAAAAGAAAATTAGGCTGAGGTCTGTATAGATTGGAAATCTTAACCTAATATGGTTGATATCATCACACTGTTCCAGAAGGGAATTGGTTTTAAACAATATGGCTAAATCATCTCTTTTTTTTGTCCCACCCTGCCATTTGTACAAATTTGTATTGGTTCAGACGAAGAAGTCATTTTAAGAAATTGTTGACAAACAGACACCATGCTATGGCATAAGGGCTCACTTGTATAAAACATCTCAAAGTTTAGGAAAATCTCAAGCAATGTATTGTCTATGGGAAATCTTAGAGTTGAGATGTTTTATACAAGTGGGCCCAGATCCCCTTACTTCTTCAGATCAGGTACATGTACGTTAGTATTATAGCCTGTTGTCCTTGCATCTACAAAAAACATTTACCGACAACATATCAAATGAATGACTGCTATATCAAACTTTAGGGCATACATGTCAACAACTGAGTTATCTACCTTGTACTGGCATCTTCACTGTAGTCTTCACAGACAGGCTTTCTCCAGAGTGAATAATATCTGAAAGAATATCAGGATTTACAGATCTCTGTAGAGAAATTATTGTGGCAGTTTATTTTCTTATACATTTAAAAATAAATAAATGTTTACATGGTCACCAAAAAACTGAAAAATGTAACATGAAAATAAAACCACTACAATTTTGGTGCAAGTGTATCACAGCTGATTGGCTTGTAAAAAGCCATTCTACTGTTACTCATCTCTTGATGTGGTTTAGATGTGAATCTCGTACAGAACAAAAGAACAGGTAGGTCTTGATACCTTTCTTACCTATTATAGCACTTGGCCTGATCTTCTCTACATCTTTGATATAAGCACGAGCAAATCCTCTGAAAGTAGACATACACACACAAGTGGTTAGTTATAGAAGGTAAGTTAAAGGACAGCTGACAGTGGAACCTGCTCTTACTAAAACATACACACGCAAGTGATTAGTTGTAGAAGGTAAGTTAAAGGACAGCTGACAGTGGAACCTACTCTTACTAAAAGGCAACAACACAAATATAGCTCTCAAGTTTATCATACACTGATGTTTGGACATGACCTTTTTTTTTCCCCACACCAAAATTGTTTATTATCAGAAAACTGATTTATTGTCCTGTCACTATTTAGTTAGGTGGTAAATAACTGAAATTAAATTAAGGAACCTAACCTACAAGTTTTTTGTCCCTTTTTCAATATACCGTAAAAGTCAAGATAATATTTATATATACACTGTATGCTGAGAAACCCAGCCCAATCAAATATATGACCATCCTTGTGTGCACCACCTTGTTGATGAGGCAAGAAAACTTGTTTGATCCTTTGATATACATCAAAAGAATCTTGCGGTCACGTAACGGTAAAAATTTAAGTCGGGTGTCTCTCCTTTGTAATCTTCAAAGGACAAGTATCAGCCTAGCAATTGGTCAGTTTTGTTTACCTGAGACCAATCAAACAGCTATCTTTGTGCCTTCAATTTTGCTATGACATAATTCAGGGGTGCAGAGAGCCAAAGTGAGGATGATATATGCCCTTCACTGGTATAATCTATATCCACCCGGCGTAAATTTCATCCTTCACATGTTATTACTACATTTGTGTTTATGTACCTACTCTGAATTTGTTCTATCAGCAACAGAAAATATTTTCCTTTGGCTGTACAGACTTATGACTACCTGAATGATATATATTTATCAGTATAGTACATGTACATACCTGTATGCATTTGGAGAATAAATACATTCCGTTGAGAAATAGTCCAACTTTTTAAAGTAAGCATACCTGTAAAACCAATAATTTAAGAAAGTTAAAACTTCTTAATTTCTATTAACCTGTTATTTTTTATGCATAAGTTTTATTTGTTATACAGTACTGGTAATTAGCACAAGTATAGAAAGTTTGAAAACATTTATCAAATATCATTTTTAGTGAGCTTATGCCGTTGCACGGCGTCCGTCTGGCGTCAATATTTTACTTTAAACGACTTCTTCTTAATAACCGAAAGGCCTAGGGTGATGATATTTGGCCAGAAGCAAACTGGGACGAAGGGCTACAAAGTTTGTTCAAATGAATGACCTTCAATTATATTCAAGGTCAAAGGGTCAATTGTCTTAAAAAACCTTTAAACAACTTCTTAATAACCAAAATGTCCAGGGTGATGATATTTGGCCAGTAGCATGCTGAGATGAAGGGCTACAAAGTTTGTTCAAATGAATGACCTTCACCCATAGTCAAGGTCACAGGGGTCAAATATGTTAAAAACTTTAACCAACTTCTTCTGAATAACCAAAATGCCCAAGGTGATGATATTTAGTCCGTAGCACACTAGGATCAAGGGCTACCAAGTTTGTTTAAATGTATGACCTTGAAACAACTTGTTCTGAATAACCAAAAGGCTCAGGATATTGATATTTAGTCAGTAGCATGATGGGATCAAGGACTACTATCTTTGTTAAAGGGAATGATTTTGACTTATATTCAAGGTCACAGGGGTCAAATTTGTTTAAAATCTTTAAACGACCTCTTCTGAATAACCAAGGGTCCCAGGATGTTGATACTTTGCAAGGCTATAAAATCTGTTCAACATATTGACTTTGTTCGACTTTCAATCACAAGGGTGAAATGTTTAAAAAAAAAAAAACAGGGTCTTTTGAATGAATTTTAATCATAAATACTGATATTTTGCCTGTAGCTTTATTTTAGATCACTTTTAAGGTTACAAGTGTGAGATTTATACCAGGTGAGCGATGCAGGCCCATTGGGCTTCTTGTTCATATTTACTATTTCAATTTTTACAATCACAATCAAATTACTTTTTTTATTCTTCTTGTATGTTTTGCAGCTAAACAAGACTAAAATATTGAAGTTAAACATTTTGTCTTTTAGAAACTGTTGAACCAGGGACAAAATTAACAAAACAATTTTCATGTTTAAGATTGGTTCTGAGCTCAAACTCGATTACTGGTTATGTGGCATAGTCTTACAGCTGAGTACCATTTAGTGATTATTAAATCAAGTGTTTAATTTATTATCACATTGCAAGAAATTGGTCAGAGTTACGAGAAAGACGCTTTGAGAACACCAGGTTGGTAATCAGAGCGGTTTTGTAGAAGGATAAATAATTTTAAATGATACAACTGGTGCACCAAAATGAGATTTCTACTTCAAACATACAATATCTCTTACTGTGATACATACAGTAACACATACAATATCTCTAACTGTGATACATACATTAACACATACAATATCTCTTACTGTGATACATACAGTAACACACACAATATCTCTAACTGTGATACATACATTAACACATACAATAGCTCTAACTGTGATACACACAGTAACACATACAACATCTCTAACTGTGATACATACAGTAACACGTACAATATCTCTAACTGTGCTGCATACAGTAACACATACAATACCTCTAACAGTGATACATACAGTAACACATACAATATATCTAACTGTGATACATACAGTAACACATTCAATATCTCTAACTGTGATACATACAGCAACACATACAATATCTCTAACTGTGATCCATACAGTAACACATACAATATCTCTAACCGTGATACCCACAGTAACACATACAATATCTCTAACTATGATACACACAGTAACACATACAATATCTCTAACCGTGATACCCACAGTAACACATACAATATCTCTAACCGTGATACCCACAGTAACACATACAATATCTCTAACCGTGATACCCACAGTAACACATACAATATCTCTAACTATGATACACACAGTAACACATACAATATCTCTAACCGTGATACCCACAGTAACACATACAATATCTCTAACTATGATACACACAGTAACACATACAATATCTCTAACCGTGATACCCACAGTAACACATACAATATCTCTAACCGTGATACCCACAGTAACACATACAATATCTCTAACTGTAATACATACAGTAACACATACAATATCTATTAACTGGGGTACATACAGTAACACATACAATACCTCTTAACTGTGATACATACAGTAACACATACAACATCTCTAACTGTGATACATACATTAACACATACAATAGCTCTAACTGTGATACATACAGTAACACGTGCAATACCTCTAACTGTGATACATACAGGAACACATACAATACCCCTAACTGTGATACATACAGAAACACATACAATATCTCTAACTGTGATTCATACAGTAACACATACAATATCTCTAACTATGATACATACAGTAACACATACAATATCTATTAACTGGGGTACATACAGTAACACATACAATACCTCTTAACTGTGATACATACAGTAACACATACAATTCCTCTAACTGTGATTCATACAGTAACACATACAATATCTCTACCTGTGATACATACAGTAACACATACAATGCCTCTAACTGTGATACATACAGTAACACGTACAATATCTCTAACTGTGCTGCATACAGTAACACATACAATACCTCTAAATGTGATACATACAGTAACACATACAATAACTCTAACTGTGATACATACAGTAACACATACAATACCTCTAGCTGTGATACATACAATAACTTACATGACTATTTCCTTTTCATATGTGTACTTGAAAGGCTTACACCTGGGTAGAGAGCCCTCAGCACCCTGGCAAAATAGAAATACAAATCATAAATAATTTTTACATCCTTTAGCTAGCTATAAGTATTTAATCCACTCCTGCTGATCAAATGTAAGGTATCATTTAATAGACACAAGAGGCAAACTAAAAATTATACATGGTACTTTATTTTTCTAAATGTCTCTGCTATGATTTGGACCTGTCCTGGGTCTAAGGATTAGGAAAGTTTTCCTTTCTGCTATGGATATTTTACAAGACTGATGAGTCTTTTTATGATCAATGCTATACTCCTATTCCAGTAAGTGTCCTCATCGCAAGATTCATTGTCAGAGCAAGTTATGGACATTATCATAAATAGTATGCTATCCTGGGCCCGTATTCATAAAACCGTTCTCATGTTCAAGCATGGATTTTGTGCTCAACCCCAATTTCTTGTTCCAGCTATAAATTAATAAGAAAAACGTATTCTGTTAATGATTTGAAAAAGCATTGAAGAAACTTAAAGCCGAAAACTGTTTGCATCGTTTGACATGATTTAAGTGAGTTAACAGAACCCATGCTTGAGCACAAGAACGGTTTCATGAATACGGGCCCAGGCCCCAGAACCACAAAATTGCTCAACTTTTAAAGCATTCTCAATCGATTCCAAATATTAATTGATTTTTTTAAAAATAATTACCGGTATGAATTTGTGAAGAATCCCTCTGGACATGAAACTGGATTAATTACAGCAAATCTAACATTAAAACGTTTGAAAGGAAATGTGACATTGAAGAATGTTTCAATGTTAACCCTTGTCACTATGTAACTTTAGTAGACTCTAATATGCATTGATATGGATGAGCCCATTATGGTTTACAGTGTTGAAAGGGTTAAAGCTGACAATCCTTACCGTGGTGATGGCAGTACACCTCCTGAGTCGACCTATATCTCCCCTCAATACTGAAACAGGCAGTCACTCATACAGCAATACACAATTAACATGGATATCTTAGGACTAAACATATTATTTCATTTCTAAAACATATGTATATCATTTATCTTTCTTTCACATTGTTATCATAATGTCAAAAATTTAAATATTAAAGGATTAACTGTATTTTAGTAATGAGAGCAAATCCAACTGAATGATGGCATATGGCTACTGGCAGTATCACTGTCTTACCATTCATGACAACCGTTTCTGCAATATCATCTGCATTGTGTCCTACAAGAAAATCAGAATACTATGACATTAAACAAAATAGCTCAAGAGCTGAGATAAACTGCATTACAGATTTTTTCTGTATAAATGTAGCCTTAACCCTTTCACCACTGTAGACCATAATGGACTCATCCATATCAATGCATGGTAGAGTCTACCAAAGTTACATAGGGATGAAAGTGTTAAATGTAAACTGAGTTTAAAAGTTGGCTATGATAAGGATAATTTACCTGTGACAATCTTGTTCACCTTCAGCATCATGGCTCCCCTGTCCAGTGCCTGCCTCCGAAACACTCCACAAAATGTACCTGTAAAATCAACAAGGCATGTGACCCCTTTCCACATTAAGTAACTGGTGAAACCCTAAAGTTTTAAGTGTAGTGAAAATATTCAAGGTATTGCACTTTTGATAAAATCTTATACATAAAACAATCTTGACCTTCTACGTCTTTGACCATAAATGGAATGGCAAACAAAGCAACCTTGCTCTGAAGTTAGAGTGCTGTAGCAGCAGGCTAACTAAACTAAGAGCATGTTCAGGTAACAAAGCAGTACTTGCATCGATATTGAAAAAAACTACCAGATAGAAGAAGGGTTTTACTGTAACATGTAAATGTAACATTTCTCAAGTTAAGGAGGCATGCTACCTGACAGAAATAGTATGTACATAAGTCGAAAAGAGATCCATAGTTTCATGCACAGTAATGCATCCACTGACAACACTTGGGTAATTGAATTATACAGGTACTATTCTAATTTAATAAAATAAGGGAGGTAACTCTTACATAAAAAAGCAAAAATCTTCATACGTAATTCCTCTATTATGATACTCACAGTTGTTTTTCAGTCCTATCTGTTGTACAATGGCATCCATTGTCCAGCCATATAGCTCCTGTGTGGAAATTCAAAATAATTAAAATCTGTTAAACATTAATGTAACTGGTACATGATTTAGAAGTGTGTTTCATTAGGAAATGTGAAACAAACCAGATTAAGTTAACCCTTTCACCCCTATGTAACTTTAGTAGACTCTACCATGCATTGATTTGGATGAGTCCATTTTGGTTTACAGTGGTGAAAGAGTTAAATGTAGTACTTTTTTTAACACAAATTTACTTGCTTATCCATTTCCTTCATTACTGCCTGCCTTTGTGTGTAGATTAAATTAAGTCTGTTTTTATTCATAATGTTTAGTAAAATTCAAATATCTTTGTATTTTTATTAAGTTCAGATGTCAGTTTGCAAGAGTTAGTGTGTGCAAAATATCTCATTAGATAATGAACAGTATTTAATAGTTTCCTTGTCTACTCTTTTGTTAAATTTAAGAATCAATGCAGTCAGTAGAACTGATAATGATATACATTTAACAGACCAGGATGAAATAGTCGGAATTAAAAAATTGTAGAGTATAATCTGACAATATAAGAGGATCATTTTGTCTACACAATCATAACAAAGAAAGGTATTACCTACCTCATAAGATACAATCTCCAGGGGAAGGTCATACTGTTTACACAATTACAAAGAAAGGTGTTACCTACCTCATAAGATACAATCTCCAGGGGAAGGTCATACTGTTTACACAATTACAAAGGAAGGTGTTACCTACCTCATAAAATAACATGTTCAGGGAAAGGTCATACTGCTTACAGAATTACAAAGGAAGGTATTACCTACCTCATAGGATACAATATCCAGGGGAAGATCACACTGTTTACACAATTAAAAAGGAATCTGTTACCTACCTCATAAGATACAATCTTCAAGGGAAGGTCACACTGTTTACACAATTACAAAGGAAGGTGTTACCTTCCTCATAAGATACAATCTTCAGGGGAAAGTCACACTGTTTGCACAATTACAAAGGAATCTGTTACCTCCCTCATAAGATACAATCTTCAAGGGAAGGTCACACTGTTTACACAATTACAAAGGAAGGTGTTACCTTCCTCATAAGATACAATCTTCAGGGGAAAGTCACACTGTTTACACAATTACAAAGGAAGGTGTTACCTTCCTCATAAGATACAATCTTCAGGGGAAGATCGTACTGTTTACACAATTACAAAGGAAGGTGTTACCTACCTCATAAGATGCAATACAGGGAGAGGTCATACTGTTTACACAATTACAAAGGAAGGTGTTACCTACCTCATAAGATACAATCTTCAGGGGAAGGTCATACTGTTTACACAATTACAAAGAAAGGTATAACCTACCTCATAAGATACAATCTCCAGGGGAAGGTCATACTGTTTACACAATTACAAAGGAAGGTGTTACCTACCTCATAAAATAACATGTTCAGGGAAAGGTCATACTGCTTACAGAGTTACAAAGGAAGGTATTACCTACCTCATAGGATACAATCTTCAGGGAAAGATCATACTGTTTACACAATTACAAAGGAAAGTGTTACCTACCTTATAAGATACAATATTCAGGGGAAGGTCACACTGTTTACACAATTACAAAGGAATCTGTTACCTACCTCATAAGATACAATCTTCAGGGGAAGGTCATACTGTTTACACAATTACAAAGGAAGGTGTTACCTACCTCATAAGATACAATCTCCAGGGGAAGGTCATACTGTTTACACAATTACAAAGGAAGGTGTTACCTACCCCATAGGATACAATCTTCAGGGAAAGATCATACTGTTTACACAATTACAAAGGAGGGTGTTACCTACCTCATAAGATACAATACAGGGAGAGGTCATACTGTTTACATAATTACAAGGGAAGGTGTTACCTACCTCATAAGATACAATCTTCAGGGGAAGGTCATACTGCATCTGGTTTCTCTTCACTGTCTGCAATACAGAAATACAGCCATCTGTATAAGGAAGATAAGTCTGTATATACATCGTATAACTATAGGACTAAAGACATGAGACCAACTCTAGGAGGATATAAACACAATAAGGTATCCCTGAATACATTGTAAACATCTTTCACATAAAATAATACATATGTAGTACAATTTCCATGAAACAGAGTATTTGCGACAAGGAAGTCCTGTGTGAAGTTTTGAGATAGATTAATCCTTTGATTGCAACCTTTCAATCATTAAACTGAAATGCAATCCCAAGCAAAGAAGCCCTGAAAAGTTTTGAGACTGAATGACCAATGGTAGCTTATTCCCTTTAAGGATACTGATCTTCTATTTATAGCAACAGTAACTTTGACCAAGCAAATGCTTTAGGCAAAAAAGACTGAATCTGTCAGAAGGGAATTTGGTTTAATGTGCAGAAAGAAATCTTCCTTATATAGTCATGGTGACCTTGACCTTTAAACTGAAAAATAATCACAAGTACTATGTAAAAATTCAATATACTGTAAAGTAAATCTAAGTTAGTGAATTCCATGGAAATGAATGACAATATATTGAGCATCAAAAAAATTTGATTGTTTTAGTAGATTATTTTTCTCATTTGGAGTCATGTTCCATTTGAGAATTGTGCAAACCCTGCAATTTGTGTCAAAGAAGTTATTAATCCCTGGAATTTTGCATACTTCTGAAGTTTGATCTCCTGTTGAATTGTGTACCTTTTCAGTTACTGGAATCATATATTCCTTGGTATGCGTGTACCAATGTCGAATTACATTTCATCATATACCCATTGACAGCAGAAGCTCTTGCTTGAAATTTGTGAACCCTTTGGTTGTTACATGCCCTCTGGTCACTTTAAACCCTTAGGGAAGTACATACCTCTAAGGAGTCATCTCTGTAACCTGTGATCCCCTCGTCCACCGACAGCAAGACAAGGTCAAGGCCGTAGTTATACCGGTCATTCAGCTCTTTCATCACATATGCCAGCACAGTGGAATCTTGTTCAAGTGTAACATGAAGGGTTTATAAATAAAGCATATAACGTCATTATAGATGAGAGACTAGTAAGGATTCCCTTAAGTTCTATTTGCCCTCAAAAAAGATCTTAAAAGCCATAGACAGTAATAATTTATTTCCTAACATTGTCACCTATATTCTGGAGCTTGAAGCTAGCAAAGACACTAACTCTTTATTGTGATAATTGTTAATGTGTGCTCTCAAACACCTACAGCCTTTGTTACCATTCTATATCCTCAACCATTTAATTTGACATCCATAATTCTTCCTTCATTCTTTCCAAAAATGCTTGACTATATTAATATTTCTTTTTAAACTCATAGAAGATTATGTTCTTTTAGGTTTCTCTTCCTGTAAACATTTGTTACGTTACCTTTGCCCCCTGAGGCCCCTATCGCAACCGTCTCCCCATGAGTGAACAATCTGGCATCGATGATGGTCTTGTGAACCTCCTCCTCAAAGGCATAGTAGAAACAGTTCTTACACAGCGCATCACCCTGAAACATTCCAACAGGCATGATTTGATAATTCAATACAATAGATTTCAGTTTAACTTGGATAATCGAAATTTCACTCCTAACTCAAACTGGGATGAGTAAAATAACCTTCCTAACTTAAACTGGGATGAAAAAAAAATAACTTCCTAACTCAAACTGGGATGAGTAAAATAAACCTCCTAACTCAAACTGGGATGAGTAACTCAAACTGGGATGAGTAAAATAAACCTCCTAACTTAAACTTGGATGAGTAACTCAAAATGGGATGAGCAAAATAAACCTTACTCAAACTGGAAAGAGTAAAATATCCCTCCTAACTCAAACTCTGACAATAAAAATCACATAAGGTAAGCTGCAATCACATGAAATATTAATGCATAGTTATCCTTACAAATTTCAGAAATCAAACATTTCCCCTTGTTTTGTTTAGGTTAAGCATACTTCGCTGTATTTATTAAGATCAAGCATACCATCGTCATTCATTAAGGATTGGACTAGATAATAAATGGATCTAACGATATTGGGACCGAATAACCAAAGTGCACTCTGAGTTAACTGCAAAGCATTTCATGTAAAGATAGAACAATTTATTATCTCGTCCAATCCGTATACTTCAATTAGAAATTAGAAATGAAAACCTTTATTAGTCAAAATGTGTGTCATGTTTTATATTTTGACAGCAAAGTCAAAATCTAAGACTAAAGAATATGAAACAATATACATGTAGTACACACATGTACATACAAATATAAATTTGACATAATTTCATGACTGAAAACTTAATATAAGTTAAACTTTCTATAGATAAGGTGCCAGTTCATAAATTCTTTTCAAATTGTTTCAGAAAATTTTACAGAAATAAAAAAATAACGTTTCTAATTAGTTACCTCCCTTCCACAAAAATGAATTGTAGTAGTGTCATTATTTGTCAATATTGTTTTTAACATATTTGTGGTATTTAGCTATACGCGTTTGTATGTAACGGAAATCAGCCTTCTGTGTAATTTTGTACGTAATGCATTGCGGCGAAACTTTTAGCGCGCGCTCACGGAAATAGCATGCGTAAATGCGAGTGAAGTACTGGGCGGATGTGATGTAATATGTTGTAAACCTGTTTGTCCAGTTATTAGCGTTGAATGTTGGGTAGTTTACCTGGCGCACTGGTCACTTTGAACAGAGCAGCCAGAGCGAGCATATCTATTCGTACTTCAGTGTATTCATCTAGTGTATCTATTGAATAATATATTTAATTAACATAATTCTTGTAAAGTAAAATTAATATTTTGAAGTCTTTGCAAATTTAGATATCGGGCATGGTCAATTAAGTAGACAAGTGATTCCTAAGAAGCAAGTTTTTAATATATGTGTATATTGTTTCCTTTTTGTAGTGTTTACTTAACAAGTCAGACTGAGGACTCGGCAGACTTTGTTTCGTGAAAACCCTCTTAATATTGAAGAAGTGAATTTTAAATATTTGTAATTATGCTGTATAATTAGATAAAAACTGTAATTTCTATATAATATATAGACTGAATATCACAGTTGTAAAATACATATTCAGTTATCGTAAATTATGTAACTGGCTACGACCAGGTAGGTGTTTGACATGTTTTATCTTATCGTATGATTATACAAATGTTTCATTATGTATACAATAATATGATGTCTTTCATGTCACAGTGGTTTTTTTACAAGTAATAAACCAATAACAAACAGAGAACCCAGGAGTTGTCGTATATATATCCAGGCAAAGACGACACTTACAGAATCATTCCTATATAACTGACAGGTAAATGTTGTTTTGGTACCCAATTACAGAAAGGAGCATTAGCATTACTGTAAATTGTACTGTGGTGCAAAGTGATGGGAGTGGCAGGGGACTTTGAGAAGCTGAAGCCATTGATCACTGATGTCCAAAAGGACATTTACAGAAATGCTCACCGCATGGGTTTATTCAACAAAATGACTTAAACGAGAATGATTTAACATGTCAACGAAATCGCTATTAACACACAAAATGGCTACCTGTATTTGAAACCAACACAATGATGTAAAAGTTATCTCCAGTAAAACTCTCCCCCTTTTTAATGTTATGGTAAACAGTCCATTACGGCCAGTGAGGACAATGCGCAGGTCTGACGACTGGTCAGTTGGTCAAGCTGAATGGTCAGTGGATGGGGTAGAGAACGGCGGGATACATACACTGTACACACACCAGCCTTATTATCAATTGTCACCAATTTTCCTTCCATTTTTTGCTTCATTACCCTGCCAAGGTGTGAGAGCATTGTCCAGCGTGACAGTGACCGACAGGTTGACCACTCGCATCCTATTATAGTCCTAATCTCATCAAGTGGCAGCCATTCCGTGTCAATTAGATAATTTGTGATTCACAGACCAACATATTATCACAGATGGAAACATATCAAGTTTAATATCTGTTTAGAAAAACTTGCAGGTCAAAGACTGTTATACATCTCTGGACTTGACTTGGAAAGATCATAGGTCACCCTCTTTACCACTGGTCATTGAGTGACCACTCGGACCCACACTGACCACAGGAAGCCACATGTCACTATAAAGCCCTATCAGAATGATCAATCTTCGCCTCCCTATCTTTTCTCTTTATCTTAGCAATCTGTTTACTAGCTCTGCCAACACCTTCAACAAAACCCTTTATTTACCTCCCAGTTTTCTTGCTCATTAAAACATTTATTAAATTAAACAATTAAACAATTATTAAATCATCCCAGCAAGCTGCAAATACAGACTAAATATCAAGACTCAAGACTTAATGGTTTGTTAGAAAACAATAACATATCTGATCTGATATTTTGGAAGAAGGTACTTAAATGCATCATGGCCGTAGATCTCATAGTTCATTAGAAGAAATTGTTTATAAAGAGTTTCCCGTATTTGTCCCTGTGTCTTGGAATGTGGCTCAATGTCATTTATTTGATAGTCCTTTAACCAGTGTACCTAGCAATATTTAACACATACATGTATATATCATTAACTTAGACCCTAGTATTTCATATACACACTTTTCCTTTCTCACAAATAAGTACCAAAATAAAAATATTCTGCAAAGAAATATTTAAAAGTCATATTGTAAAATAACCTTTCAGTTTGCTACACTGCTACACTGTATTTCTTAAGGAGAGGGATCTCCCACTGTAGGAAAATTTAAAACACTGGAGAATGTCCATATATATACAGTAACCTCTCCTTTAATTTCGTTTTGTATGTAACAGGAAAGAGAATAATGTGCTTCCACTGGGGATTGAACCCTCTATATTCAGGTTCCTAGTCGGACGCTCTATCACTAAAACCTGCCAAACTACTCCCCCCTTTTTAATTGTGTTTGCCCTAGATCTAACACCACAAACCAGGTTCTAAACTCCCAGTCACCACAGGGAGGGCCACATACGGCCACCATCTGTAACAGGAAAGGGAATAGTCTGTGGGGATCGAACCCTCAATCTCCAGGTTCCTAGTCGGACGCTCTACTACCGATATAAAGAGAGAAATTCCCTCTAGCTCCAAGCTAGAAGGCGACAATAATTCTATGTACAATTAAAACCAGCCACATGTTTATAAATACAGTGGCCGGGGACTGGGCTAGAGAACTTATATAATTACTGCTGATCAGCTCTGTTGGATAGTGTAATTGTATTGTGATCAGGGGTCCAGGGTTCATACCAGACTTTGCCATTAACAGTAAAGTCTAAATCAGGCAAAAAAATATACAGGAATAAAACATGTTAGTTTGATCACTACAAAAGTAGTACTCTACTTATCAAATCATCAGATACCAGTACCTACATGTGCTTTGTATTTTACAGCAGTATAACCTACTTAATACTGAAATCAAACACAATGAGCTGTATCACACCAGACTGAAGAATGAAACAGATTGATGATTCCTCTTTTTTTTTAATTCTAAACAACCATTTCTAAATGTGAAGTTTTCAAGGTTAAGATTTCAACTTCAAAAATTTCTTTTTAAGATTCACCTCCCTACAACTTTTGTGTAATCAAAACATTGTGTAATCAAAACACAGATGTACAGATGATTAGCATAATCTCTGCTTGCAACTTTTTCATAAAAATGTCCCTTAATGCATTTTACATGAGTAAGAACAGAGCATCAATTTGAAATGAAATAAAAAGCTCAGCGCACGAAACAGTACATCAAAGCTGAATCGGATAGTGACAAAGTAACTGTATTTCGATCAGGGTCGTTTAGGTGATGATAGATCTTGTCTGGGGGTCCGATATCTAATAATCATCAGCTCAGGTGTGATTGGCAGTTACCCCCGCCAACCAGGAGAGTGTCGGGTTAAAAAACCATGATACAAGTCTGTTGAAACGGAGTTGGGGGTCCAGCTTACTGCAGGTCAGCTCAATATTTGATCTGTATTGGGTAGACGTTAAAGACTGGGTGACAATTTACACAGTGGGGAGCCGCGACCAACCACCTCTGTGTGGAGCGAACAGTGAAGTACCTCCTTCACGTCTTGTCATGATACATCAAAGACCAGCAAGACCTGTGGCTCCATCTTGTTTGTCCATTTACCGGAGTCTATGATTGCTCCGGGTTGAATAACATGTTGGTGAGCCCCCAGGTGAAATCGGAGCTGGTGAGCTTAATTAAGACTGAACAGCCCGAAGACTATCAAGTAGTGCTAATAGGCAGGTGCTCGACTCGGTTTTGACACTTTACAATGTCCGTGTAAATGATAGGTACAAAAGAATTAAATTAGGTGCATAAAATCAGTGTCTAGTGAACACTAATTACATACGAGAAACATCACTTGTGAAACGTCGCAAGCTGCTTACAACATTTTGTCGTCAGGTCCCACTCTCTAGTTAGCTTGCTACTGTTGAAAGATGAAATTTTTCATACAAAATCATCTCTGTGTAATATCAGGGGATGTCCCCTTAAACTAAGTGATTTTCTCAAAAAATTGAATGGAAATTAAGATTATCATCAATTC